ACGGAGACAATAGATTTCCTCGCTTCATGTTGGCCAAATGCTCGCTCACTCTAGTACTCAGAGGTCTACCCGTCTCTCCAATGTACGCTGTTCTGCAACTCAAGCATTCTAATTGGTAGACAGTACCGGATTTGGCGCAGTCCCCAATTTTCCCGTACATCCGGCTTACACGTGAAACACCTCGCGGTGGATGGCTTTCCTTTCTGAATACACAGGTCAGCATATGTGACAATACCGTTCGCATAAAATGGTACAGAAAGGAAAGCTCTAAAAACATCCTCTTACATGCTACGTCAGCTCACCCCTCAGCAGTTAAACATGCTGTTATACATAACATGTTCAAAACTGCTACCGAAATGTGTACAGGCGATGACGAGCGACGCGAGTCACGACAATTGGCGGCTGACATTGCACTCAGTAATGGCTATCTGCTTCGAACAGGACGATCACGTAAAAGACAGTTTAACTGTTGTGAATGTGTTAGTCTTACGGAGCGCAACAAGAACAACAAGATTCCTTTGTGCATACCCTTTGTTTCCGATAGAATCAGCCAGGCCATAAGACAATGCATTCTGCGAGCACAGTTGCAAAATGAAGTCATGCTGATTGACATTCCTAGCGATAATATCAAAAGGCGGTTGGTCAGAAACAGAATTTACGATGTTGAATGTGTATCAAAGAATTGCATAGTCTGTCCTAACGGGAAAATTGGGGACTGCGCCAAATCCGGTACTGTCTACCAATTAGGATGCTTGAGTTGCAGAACAGCGTACATTGGAGAGACGGGTAGACCTTTGAGTACTAGAGTGAGCGAGCATTTGGCCAACATGAAGCGAGGAAATCTATTGTCTCCGTTAGGCAAGCATAAATTTGAAGAGCACGGCGGTAATGATTTTAGCGTTGAAAGCGTCATCCTAGCGTTTGAGACTGACATTCTAGCACGAAAAACCCTTGAAGCGGCGTGGATATACTGTCGTAATCCTAGTATGAACAACAGAAATGAATGTCTGACGATAACGAGTGATCTACTTCCACTGATATCGTTGTGTGAGCTCGATACCGCACACTATAAGTAGCAGGACTCACTGGGCACAACTCAGTGATGTCCGTCACACTGATTTAGTGCAGACTACTGACTCTTTGGTGGACCGAAGGTTCGTTTGCCCTCGTTTGATGTTCCCAGTACGTTGCGTCTGAGAAAACGTCAAGCGAAGCGGACTCAGACGAGATGTTTGGCGGCACAGTACAACGGGTACGTAAACTACAATCCTTTTCAGACCTCCGACGAAGACGAGTTGTTCGAAACGTTAGGTCGATAAAGATCCACCATACCAACCTGTGCGGCATTAGAAATATTAGAACATCAGACTTACAGTCGAAGATGCCCAGGTTTCAAGACGAGAACACATGGAAAGTTGTTTGATGCATCATAGACACTTCCCTCCTCTACCTCTAGAACCTCTAGGGTGTCTACGTCATAACCCTTGTCTTTTGCATCTGCAAGTATCTTGATGGGCATGATGCTGATCATCGATCCCGTATCTAACAATGCTGATATTCGCATGTTCAAGGCTCTTGCTGGCAGTACTGTCTTGTCTCCGATAAGCCCATCTGTCCTATCCTGAGCGCTTTTCACCACTAGGTTTCTTGCTCTGTCCACCATAGATGTTACTGGACCTGATGTCTTGCCGTTGAGGTCATTTCCTGTCTAACTGGTACAGTCTCGTATGCGATGCCCGAAGCGACCACACCCGTAGCACCTCCATCCTTCGTTTGGAGAGCCTCGACCAACATCCGTGTTCCTTGCTGGCTGTGTCGCCTCCCTTTCTTCTCTGTTGCGCTTCCCCCTCTCTGAGCTGCTATCCTGGAAACGCCTACTGTGTGCGAATCTTTCCTCTTCCTTGGGAGAGCTCTGCCGTTGTTCTCCTTGGTCCCACCTGCGCAGTCTTTTTGACTGCTCATTTCTGATGCTACTTCTTTTATCGTTGTAACCATTCCCCGGATCCACCTTATGCAGCGTTCCTACTAGCTGCACATACTCGGGCCAGCCAGTCTTTCAGATTATACAGGAGTATCTGTGCAACTCTATGGATCGCTCCTCAATACTGCACTGAGGGTTTGCTTTCCTGGCTAAGCCCTCCAGAACTACACAAAATTCGGCCACTCCTTGATTTGGTCTCGCCGCAGGTTCCTTGGGGCCGTGAGCCCTCTAAGTCTTGCTGCGGTTGAGTCGCACGTTAACAGCGCGGCCATCTCTTTTACCACCCTCTCGAATCCCTGGCGCCTTACCGATAAAGGGATACTGAGGTACACGGATTTTGCATGCCCCGCTGAATGCTCATCGCCCAAAATATCTACCAGTGTTTGCTCATCCCGTATGCTCGTACCGAACCTTCTTCTAAATTTTCTAATGAAAACCCCAAAGTCCTCGTTTTCGCCTCCTTTGAAGACCCTCGGGTCCGCAAGGCTCATACTTTGGAAATAAACAATTGTTTCTGCGTACCTTGACATGGCAGGCATCCGATGAAGCTCGTTTCCAGCGATGGCCCCCAGGGCTGCGCGTACATCAGACGGAGGACGCGCAGGAGGAACCAAAGGCCTAGCCGCCAGTGTCCGCAGGAGATAATTAGAGACGCGAGCAATGCGCCGGAGATTTGGCCTGGATCCAAGAAACTTGGCAGGAATCCAGAGATGCTTTTGAGGAAAAGATTTCTCGTAACTTCGCTGGGGAAACGCTAGAGATAAGTGGGGCAGTTTTGTAATCTGCGTTCTCAGGCGCATTTATAGGAGAAATGATAGCGGAATTCACTTTCCATTTGCAAATCTTTGAATATGACCATCGCCAGAAAATACCTTAGCTTTGACGAAGTAGTTTGAAGAGATTGTTCACAAGTGCCCTGCTCGAACTCAAACCATGAACCATCTGAAACCCATTATAAATTGGCAACTTATAGAAAATCTCATGTCAGTGTGATGCAAACTCCCAACCTTTGAAAAATTTCCAGTTGGTTCAAACACAATTTTGCAATAATGTAACTTATCAATTCAAGGTTTTATCTCGGACTGCTGACTCTGAGTTTGCCTTGCCCTTTTTTATGGTGGGTTTTTTTCAAATGACAGTTAGCTTATTAATAGAAGCCATGAAAAGTAGATTTCAAAACTGCCACTCGTATTTCTCGTGCGTTTTCCCAAGCAAAGTTATGAAATACGTTTTCTTTTGGTCTCTTTCATTTCTTTGCCAAGTTGTTCTGGATCTTTGCCAAATCCTCTCCACAGTGCCCGCTCTCTTAATTGGCTCCTGCGGATATGGCGGCAGGCCCTTGGTTCCTCCTGCTACGCCGCCCATCAGACCAATCTCTCGCTTTGGTCCTCTCGGCTGTCCTCGAATTCGACAACTGAACAAATTCATTGTTTGTGTTCCTTAGTGAAAATGTTGAGGTGCTCTCACCTTGTATCTGGCCGTCTTCGGCTTCTTCTCTCTCTTGTACCGGTTTCTCCGGTAGTTGCTCTCTTTCGAGGCATTCCTGCATTTGATCTGTTTTGAAAGTTTTGCATTTACGTTTTCCGTGAAGACCGCTACTCGACTAGTCAAAGAACCCATTTTGATCTGGACTACTAGGTTATCTATTTGCCCTACTGTACTAGCTACCTTACTAGTTAACTCTTCTTCTAGCGGCCCTCTGTACCTGACCGCTGCTCTCCTCTCATTAAGGTGTCTGCTAACTACCTTTGGTAGCAGCTCTACCCCCATTTTGATGAGCTCTATCTGCTCTATTACTCAGACAATCGCCGGGGGCAGGCGGGCACCGGAAAATACGCGTTGCTGAAATTTCGCATCCCGCTTGCAAATTTCAGGGAAGTAATCAGCGAGTTTTTGAGAGACCGCCTGTTGAATCTTTTTTCGCTCTTATCTTTTGCAGATATATTGTTGAATCTCTGAGGAATCGAGAATTCAGCAAGCGACGTTCCCAAAAGTCCTGATTGCCTCTCAAAAAATTCGCGAGCGGGGTGCGAGAAATTAGCCGTCGATTATTTTTCCGGTGCCCGCCTGCCCCCGGCGACTGTCTGAGTATGTCCAAATTTCCAGGTTCTCTCACCTGATTCATTCTCCTTTTTTCGTTCTCTTTTCCTTCTATTTTGGTAAAGAAAACTCTTATCTGAAAACAATTTGTTGTTTTTCACAAACTTTCACTCAATACGGCGACGAAACGCGATACACGGCAAGGAAATCGACGAGAAAATCGAAGATTAATCGATAGCGCTTCCGTAAGCGCCTGGATGCGTGGATTGATAAGGATGAATCCATTCCTCACTCTACTGATCGATTACTCTTGCCCCTTGTCGACTTGTGTGGCCTTGGTTGCTGGTTCTGCACCGGATCAATCAATCAGCTCGTGATCTTCCAGTTAATCAAGGCGTTAGCTCAGCCATGTAACTGCGGGCTAGTGTCTAGTGGTATTTTAAGGTTTCCACCTGGAAAACGGAACACACGAACAGATTAAAAACAATAAAATTTATCCGTATGCAAAACAATCAGTAACAACGGCCTCAAGGCCCACAACGAACGAAAACAACAAGAAAAAATACGAAATTGGGGGGAAATATCCCGATTTGTCCCTCCAGCAGGGCTTTGCACGGTCACGGTCGGATCAATTCTCGGTAGGTTTACACGTGGGGAGGTCTGGCTCTCTCCTGACCAGTTTTCGACTCCCGCGAGCCCCTTCTGCTCGCGGCTCCCCTCTCTCTTCCCCTTTTATGCCCTGCTGCGAGGCCTCTTACTTTCCCGCCATCACATATTGTAGATCGGTGATCCTTTCCATCCAACACCCGCGCTTTTACTATTTATGCGAGTATCAAGGTAGACTTCTAGTGGTGTAAGCAGAGAGACTCACGTAGATAAGTGGCCACGCGAGCCTTTGCGATGTAGAGGTGATCCACTGGATCACAATAAAAGGACGAAATAATTGCGAAATTTACTTTAATTATGGATCAAAACTTACCAACCCTGCAATAGGAACAAACAGTAATAAACGACTTTTCATTGCCACAATCTTCGAGCGAAGCATTGGTCGAAACACCGTTAAAAGACGCTCACACGTCACAAGCAATAAACAAAAAGCAGGTAGCTGTGTTCCGAGAATAAGAGCATGCGGCCAGTATTTCTGAAATAAGTGATCAAGTAGTAAAAATTTGCGCAGTATCATGCATGTGCCTCAAATCAACTTTGTTGCTTGGACAATGAGAGAACATGCAATACAGACACCAGCACTCACCCTGAAAAAGCAGTCATAAACTGTTGTATCGTTGAACAAAGACAAATCTTCGATTCCACTAGCTCTTCCGAATCCAGTCAAAATGTAGCTAATTGCTGAATAACCCAGATTTTGGCAAATCTGGATAAAATTATGAATCAAGTTTTTCAGCTTCATTCTTAGAAAACGCCTGCACGGCTTGACAACTTACAAAGCATGATGAATCTGTAGACGAAACGATTTTTATGTCGAAAATGTTTGTTACAATAGCAAAATCTTTTGCGGCAAATTTTAAAAAGAACTATCTATTAGGATCTATCTAATCAGTCTTTATCCTCGTTCTGAGAATAAAGACTGACTTAAGCTAATTTCTATCCTGAAGCGAGGCAAGCTCTACAATATGACCCAAAGATTCACCTAAGTCTTGAAATTTTAGGCCAAAACAGAATTTTTCAACTTTCGTGAAAATGGGATCTCCTTCTAAAACACCTCCGAAACAAGTTCTTGTAGACACATAGTGGTAACTAAAAATATATTCGATTGATTTTTTTGGGGCTTAAAATTGAAAAGTAGAATAGCTCAAAAAGCCAAAAATGTCTTTCTGTGTTCTTTATGTTAAACTTGCTATTTTAGATTACCGGCGCATACAAAGGTAAAGTTTTGAACTTATATTTATTGGGGCCTGTAGTACACAAGGACATGGAGAGGTAGAGGGCGGAATTAACCAATTGGACCATTTTTCTCTTTCGCTTTCCACGCGCGGAAAATTCCAGCAAAGCATATTTAAGTACTAATATGTGTCTACTTTACAATGACCAATTTGCAAAAATTCAATTCAGATGGTAAAATTTTTTTTTGATTCTGGCTATGAACTTTACGCATCACGACTTAGGCGGATCTTTGGCGGTCATTTTGTAGAACTTTCCTCTCTATCGGATGATCTTTAAGTCTGCTACAAATAATAACAGCTTGATTTATTCAAAAAAGAGTTTGATTTTTGGATTTTGGGACAACCTATTAACAAGAAAACGTTTTTGGTCGGAGTGGCCTCTGGAATAAAACTAATCACACTGCTGTGAGGAGCATTGAATCTAATCCAAATCTGTATTTTATACCTACCAAAGCCTCTGGACGATGAGTAGTGAGTGGTTTTTGATGTAAAAAAAAGTTTTCTATTAAAATTAGACACTGGTTGCTCCAGTGCTCTCTAACAATTTCCAAAGGCGCTTATTAGTTACCAAGGATTGTGAATCAGCCTCGATGCTCTTTACGGTAGTATGAACATTTTCGTTCGGATTTTGATTCCTCGGAGTAGTGCAAATTTTATTTGCAAGCCATTTCGTCTAGGAGGACTAATCTTGTAAGAAAATATAATTTTGCTTTTACAAAGTTTAGTCAATGATTGTAATGAACTTCTTACATGTGATTAAGTTTTTCTTACCATCTATTAGTTCGCACATGTTCAAGGCAAGAAGGTTTGGGTACTTTTTGAACATATTCCTCTTTGAACAAATCACCAATATGCTGAAAACTGAGCAGACAGTAGAGAAAATTCCTGAAATTGTAATATTTCTTGCTTGTAAACCCTGAATGTTGTAAATTGTGTAATTTATTAGTGAGATGCGTTGTTTGCCGCAGCCCCTCACTTCTTCTGCTACAATGCCGTATAGAGTAGACTTTAGTTCGAATTTTGATAAATCTTAACGATAACGCAACTATACGCAAAACCTGACCAATGACCCGAAATCGAAAAAGGCTTTCCACATGGAATCAATGCCGATTTGAAGAGTTGGACGCTGATTCCAAGACTGTCGTCGTTATATGCCAAGCGCCGCTGGCTAAATTATGAGCGGCTTTTCCGGCTCAAAATAATGAACAAGCAACTGAACAAGATTGTCCAAAATTGCTCAAATAATTTCACTGTTCGTTATCAGAGCACTTTATGCATAGAACGTCTTTTGCCTAGTATAATCGAACGTAACACTGCTTTATTCAAGCGGTGGAAAAACCGCAACAATGGAATCATTTAGGCCTAAACAATTGAATCCATTTTCGTTCATTTTTCGCTTCAAAAACATCCATAGCTCTGCATTTAGAGGCGCCTGGCAGATGATCAAAATAGATCAGCTTCAATACATTTCAAAGTATTAGGGTGATCGGTAAAAAATGGGGCACGAAAATGAACTTTCGATTTCGTTTAAAAGGAAAGTGACTAAACTCAATTTTGATAGATGTTAGGATAAATTATTCGCTTTCAGAAGATACCTATATAAGGTCATTTACATATCTAGTATTTTTTTAGTGGCTGAAATGCAAAGTTAGTCACTTTGACAAATTATAAACTTCGAGCAGTATCTGCGCAGCGAAAGATGCGAAACCATCCAAAGTACTACTGCTGCAATGCGTGAAGATACAGTCACCAGGTACCGTCACCAGACCCACGATGGGTTGCTGGCCTAAAAGCTTAAACTCAGGAGTATTAGCATTTTCGGGGACGAAGATATGTGTTATTTGATGCTTTGCAAGTGAACGCAGGTTTTTTGGCTACCATCTGATAAATCTATTTACGCTCTATCCACCCATATGCAATTTACCTCAATTTTCACCTGTCTTCGGATTATTGGTTTTTGTTGCGCCAAAGAACCGCGTTTTTTCAAGTATTTCGCTTTTTTTATCCAGAGCATGAAGAGCTTCTTCGAATGGTATATCAATTGCTCTATTACTTTACGGTAGGCAGCGCAAGAATGAGCGATGTTTAAAAACCCTGTTCGAGTTCTTCAGGGCACCGCGCTACGGTTGTGGGAGAGGAGCGTTGACGCAATAATGGGCGAAGGTCGCTTATATAAGCGACGTTTACGTTGCAGCCTGCTTGTTCTTGATCGAAACAAAAAACCTCAAAATTTGATAAAACTCAAGCTGCCCCATTTTTTATCGTTCACCCTAATAGTACATGAATAATTCGAAAAGCCCGTTTCGACTTCGGGTTCTTCTTTCGTCAGTGTAAATGGCGGCAATAAAGGGATACACTGTGGGAAGAATGCACAGAATGTTTGAAGACTAGCACTCAGAACTTGAGTGGAAAAGATGGGAAAGCCTTTGATCTCACAAGTAAAGAACCCCAAATCGTTGTGGCAAACTGGAAAAAAGTGCGTGTTGCTAGATGCGCCTTGATAAGCTGATTTTGATTTTGATTTTGGTATCTGCTGCTATTCTGGAAAAAGTATGAGCAATTGAAGTTGTAAAGTCATGGGGTTCTAAAGCATTATGTGCATAAAAATCTAGCCTGGGAGTGCAGGGCAAGGTGTTGAGTGTGCAAGGAATGAAATAAGGAATGCACACACATCTGCCGTATTTGGACTTTTAACTGCTCATAACTTCTTAGAGGAGATCTCGTAGCAGATATAGAAGTAGATTTGATTTCAGCTCAAGGAGGCGCGTCTGATGATGTGCATTTTGTTCCAGATTGCTACTGCGATTCAAGATTTCCGCCTAATCAGCTGCTGCTAAAAGTGAGATGTAAGCTACTATTAATCTTGTCAAATCATAGTTTTTTTTTCAAAAATTTCGAACAAGCTCGCGTTGCTAGAGTACTTTATCAGGGCTTACGCAAAAGTGATTATCTTGCATGCACCTCAACATGCTGCAGAATTGCTCTTTTACGGAACTGAGGAAGGCGTCAGCCTTGTACGACTTTTCGGCTTACGGAGGAGTAACTTACCTATAGCTATATACAAGTAAGACATAAAGCAAGCATGCCATATGTCGCTGGAAGTTGCATTCATTGAGATCTAAAAAATAACCAGGAGTGCGTCGCCCTTTACCACTTTCATGTTTTTTAAGGTTTGGATAGACCGAATAGAAAATCGGCAGGGTCAAGCAAGCGGTATGGCACACGACGCTAGTTACGACCTCCTCCTCTTATTCCTGTCTCAATAAGACCCCCTGAACTATATACCTAAGACAGCATTACTTGAAGGCCCTGTCAAACATAACGGGCAACATATACGTAATTAGCATGTCAACTAACCCCTGTAGACAATGTTTGGGCGAATTATGAAGTTTCAAGATATCGGGTCACCTGCTCAGATAATTGCCGGGGGCACGCAGTCCGCAAACTCGCGCTTTTCTGCAGGCGGTAGCAGAACTTTGGGGCGTGGCCAAACCTTCAGTGGGGCATCTTTACCGTCGCATATTCTGCCAGCGAGCACCAATACAGCATTTTCTTCAAGCGCTCGGCAAGTGATTTATTTCAGCAAGCGCTGGCTAAACTTTCAGCGAGCGCTAGGAGTCTTTTAACGCAATTTCGGGCATACACCGAGTAAAGATGAGACTCTATGTAGCAGAGGTGTCATTGATGGTTTATACTCAAGTTTGAGGTACCTTCTTTCAGCGGAAGGTACCTACGGGCTGTGCGTCCTTCACAAAGAACCGTGCGGCCCTCAATAATTTTGCATATTCTCGCGGAAAATCTCGCTTGCTCAAAATTCGCATGGTCGCCTGCCCCCGGCGATTATCTGAGTAAGTGTAATCGCCATTTTCCAGCATGATTAATTTAGTTTCAAAGGTGAAGTAGCTAGCTCTTTTTGCACTTAAAACAAAGCACTACTCCTTCTTTGGCCACTTCAGAAATCTCGCTTCAAAAGACCCTTAACTTTAGAATTAGAAGCCAACCAAAATTCTGTTTTCCTATTTTCGCTTTAATAGCTGTGCTTTCACCAAATATTACTCCGAGCTAAGAAAACGAATCAGGCTCCTATGAAATCTACGAGATCTAGGCTATCGATTATATGAATAATTTCGTTAAAATCGTTTTTTGATATAGTTAATGGGGTGTGGCACCACCCCTAAAAAGCTGTGGCTGCCACAGCTTTTTAGGGGTGGTGCCACACCCCATTAACTCACATTTAAACAAATCCAGTAGCTGCAATTTTTACATCGTTGTTACTGCTTAACCTTCTTTACATAGCAAAAGTTTCTATGAAAACGTTTAAGAGCAAGATATAATCGTTTTTTTCTTACCTATGCAAATGTAAAATACTGGTAAAATACTGCGAGAATATTGGGTATAGGTATACGGTAACATGCTAAGTCTGCGCTACTATGTGAATTACAAGGAAGGCAACAAGAATGTATATATTCGATAGCCTATGCCTCGTAATCTACATTGGAGTGATTTGAGCCTGATTGGTCTTCTCTAGCCTGAGATATTGAAAACGAAAAATGGAACTGAACGAAATTTTGGTTTGCTCTCAATTCCTTGATTTGGAGGTCATTTAAAATAGGATTCCTAATGTGAGCGAACAAATAGTAGTTCTTCGTATCAATCGCACAGAAGTAGTTAACTTACCTTTGAAACAAAGTAACATGTTTGAAAACAATCATCTCACCTAGGTGGTCCTGTAATTGGAAACCCCCAGAATTCGCTGAAACTTGAACCACAGGGGTTATTTTACTTGCTGACTACAAAACATTGCTCTTATGCTTCATAGATCTTTAATTATGCTTAGTGTGCGTGTACGATAATGAGAAAACATCATTGTGCTAGTATTTTGCATGACGGACCTATTTGAGAATGTTAACGAATATTATTTTATGCGAACAGCGGACTCCTTGATAACGACCCCCCCCCCCCTCCTTAATTTCTCAATACGACATCCCAAGTGTGGCATGTCACACTACAAACGTACGTTTGACCCTGGAAATTAGTCTAAAAATAATCTTACGAGTAAAGGATACCGTTAGCGTTCAGCAAGGAGATGTACGCTATAGTCCGTTCAGTACACTGATATAATATAGCCTCATTAAATCTGCGACGTTTTTTTTAGAAAAGTTAGGATCCCTATTTCTACAGGTTTTGTTCTATCCACGGAATGACAAGTAATAACGCATCATAACTGCGTCATAAATGTGCTCCGAAACGCAATCATAACAAAACACTGTTACTCACGTATCAAGACCATTTTCGGTAAAATCGAGTCTGCAAGGAAACGAAAAGCGATGAGTACCCATGGGATTTCAACCCGCTAAAATATAGCTAGAAGCTCACTGATTTCCAATTTGCGCTACCAACGTTCCTGCCAACGTCGCATTCGAGATAGAGTATTGATCAAGTGATTATAATAAACGGTACATCAAAAAATTAATTGATAGAGCCATCTTAATGGATTTCTTCAGAAAGAATGTAAAAATTTGCCAGTGGTGATATAGCAGATGTCATCTGAAAAAAAAAGCATGTGAACGAAATGTTTGATAGTCTTATCAGTAGTGGTCTAATGGAACGTATAATGTTTTTTTTTGCGTTTAATGCAAGGCAGTAACCAAATATCACATTCAACTCTACACTAGATTATTCATTAAACCGATCTTGTTATCTTTTCTTCAAGTACATGCCAAATCTTTTCTCATCAGAAAAAAACAAAGTTCGTTCTACCATATCAGTTTTCTTTAAAATGTCAGAAAAGCCGTATGCACGCATCGTTGTACTTGTTTTTAGAAGTTTCGCCTGAGCTCAGATAGAACACTGATCACTGTAAACCTCTCTATGAGTACTTTATGATAGAAAGTACCCCGATTGTTGTTACTCCCGTGCTCGCCATTATTTTATCTGCGAGTTGGAAAGGCTGTCACCATTGATTTTTATACTGATCAGAACTTTAGTTTTTGACTCATAAAACGCTTAAGTCCTCATCCAGAGGGGCTTCGCAGATAAGGAAGACGACTTTGGAACCAGCGTTCAATGCCTTCAAAGGCAGTGTTTCGATAGATTTTTCCATTTCCATCTTTTTGCATGTTTTCGGCTTTTTCGACAGATAGGACTCGAATCTGAGATTTGAAACTGGTGAAAAGACCATTTTTGGGTCGCTTAAACAAATTCCAAAAAGCAGCTCGACCGAGATTCCCAGTAAAAAGTTATATTAAGTCGTTCCGGATATGTCGCTTTATCCAAACGTACGCCACATCTCGAAGAACAAAGATATGTAGAAGATTCTGGTAGCATTTGATGCAGCATTTCATTCTTTTTTCTAATGGTTATACAGGGTGTCCCAAAAAAATGTGCCTACTGTTTGATTGTTAATAACTCTGTTGTAACGAAGTCTTTCGAAAAGCTTTAGGTACCATTTTGTAGAGCGAGGTTAAACATAGATTTACTGTACGGAACGAATCATCGATCGCTCTTCATTACTGTAGGATTATGGTAAGAACTTCCAGCATATGGAACCATTGTGAAATATACCACCCAATGAAATTTTTTCCAAAAAAATCTGAAAAATTGTGTACCAAGGTTTTCGCGCATGCTAATTCCAGCTAACAACTTTTTACAAGTGTTTTCAGCTTTTTTGACGGTGTAATTACATTTCTGACAAATGCTGGAAATTGACTGATAACGAATTACAGGGGATAACTTTGGAAAGAAGCACCACAGTAAAATGGGAATATCAAATTCGGAAACAGCGGCTCCCATTACCGTAGTATAAGGGTTTTTGGCTTGTTTGGTCTTGTTCCGAGGCAGACTATAGCCTCCAGCGGCCTAAAATCCTTGTCGAAGTTCGTACCGTAATTATACAGTAATGAAGAACGATCGATGATTCGCTTTATACAGCAAATCTAAGTTTAACCTCGCTCTACAAAACGGTATCTAAAGCTTCTCGAAACACTTCATTATAAGAGAGTTATTTACAATCAAACAGTAGGCACATTTTTTTGGGACACCCTGTATAAGTATTGCGTAATGATCGATAACCTCTTAAAAAATCATCAAAATGTGCGACCCATGTTTTTTGAGAGGGCCAATTTTCACAATTTTTTTAAATTTTTATAACAACCCTCAGAAGGAGTCCAAGTAATAAATGGATACAGCAAACCATACAGGAAACTGCACAACTTTTTTCTACTTTCCAGAGCTCGTCATAATTTTTGTATAGGTTTTTTGATGGAACCAGCGAATTTTAGCAGGCTCGTCTCAGACGCAAATGAACCAAACACAATAAATCTTCGGACTTTGAAAATTACAAAGATGGATTATGGTTTGGCACTAATTTTACAAACCAAATGAGCATTTACCGCTTCAGACTAGAAACTTTCGAAATTTCCGGGTACAGCCTGGGGCGCCCTGGAAAACCTGATTATGATGATTTTATCCCGGAAAACTTGATGAATCCGAAACAGAAAACAAGTGGTAGAAAGAGGAGAAAAGCTGCATCGAACGACACCAGGAGTCACTTGCTGGTTGTTGTTCTGTGAGGTTTGAGTTGACCGGATACGTAATCTGATAGCATTGAAAAATTGATTCCAGAAACTTTAAGAAGAGAGCTAAGAAAAAGAAAAAATTACTCAATGTACTATAGGGTTTTGCTCTATCTACCAATCACTTGTGCTTTTTCGGAGGATAGGTACAAAAATTTAGAAAAATAGCTGAACTTGACCACGGCAAAAAGCAAATCTCGCAGATTTTGGTAATTTTTCGAGAGCTCCTTGAATATTATGCATTGAAATCACAATCATTAGAAAGGGGAGCAAATGCTGCATCAAATGCTTCTAAGATCTCTTGAAAATCTGATTTCATGAATGTGGCGTTCATTTGAAAAAATCGACATTACTTTGGAACGATTTAATAGAAGGCACAATGCGGAAGCGGTCGTGGGGTCCCGCGCAGAACAGGTAAACGAAGCCGTCGGAGCGGGCGAGAACTATTTTTTCGGCGCTGGAGTAACATTAGCTAGCGGACTGGGTTTGTAAATTGGTGAGGTGGCTAAGAACCTCACCACAGCTACATCCCACAAGGCGCG